GGGTCGCTGATCACTCACTTCTGCGGCCAGAAGTGAGTACTCAACAGAGCACGGATGAACAACCTCGATGACCAATGGGTTCTGTGAAGGCGTATGATTCACCTGGCTGTCAACGGCCTTCGTGCTCTTCTGCGAGTTCAGTAGTCCAAGAAATTTCTCCTGGCCTTGTTGCTTCATGGGCGTCCTACTCGGATGCCATGTTATCATCATCATGCTAGCCGACTCCCAGCAGTACGCGATATACCTCAATCGCCCCGCTGCCTTGATAGTCAGCTATTTAAGACTATTGGCTCCCGATGGGGTCCTCTAAGACAACCCTCTTCCTCGGCCTTGGCAACCTAGAAGCTACATGCCCACACAACCTATGGACCAATGCTTCAACGACCTGGCTCTTTCTATCTGATCTTTGCCAATGCTGCCCTCCGCCGATGTGCTGTCTGCCGAACACGATATATCGCGCTCTACCGCACCACCGTTCGGTTACTTTATTCTGTGTTTGTTCAACTCACCCATCCTTGGTAATCCTTCTCCGTTTCCGAGTCCACAACACCATATCGCCTTGGGTGAATGTTCTCGCCATACGGATCAGGAATTTGGGTCCAAGCTGCACTGGGAAGCCTTTTCCAGTGATTCGTTCCCAATTCAAGCTGGCAACCTTTAATGTCCGGATATTTACGCCAGTCGGATTACAAGTAGCTCTTGGATGGAACCATTTCCCACAAAGGTGAATATTTTGACCAGTCCTCTTTGTTTCTAAGCTAATACGGACGCATCCGTTACCGAGTTGCTCCAGTTTCGCTCCGTGAAAACGTTTCTGTACGTTTTGGTTATGGTTGTTCCAAAGGCACGTCTCACTTTGCGTAACCAAGACTATTCGGCAACTCGAGTTACGATCCTCTCTACTTAACCGGTGTGAGTGATATCGCCATGCTGGATCGCGTGCTCGCATATATGGGCCACTTGTGAAATTAGTGCAGTCTCCTCTCTCATTTGAAGGTTTGGCATATTTGTGTTGAAGCTACTAATTCTTTAACGAATATATCACATTTGAATAACCAGCCTCAGTCATGATAGCCGGGATGGAATGGAAAATCCAATCGAAGGTAGATTATGTTCGGAAATCCTCATTTGCGGAGTCATGTTTGTTACAGTACGCAGAGGCGATGGATTCGCATGAAGGCGTCCACTCGGATGGTTTCCCATTGGTTGTTCGGCTCATCGCCACTGCTTTTTATGCTTAGTTATCTCGCACTTTATGCGACATAAAAATGAAACTTCCTTATGAAAAATCGTAAAAGTCATATCGAAAAGTGCTAACGGGTGTCAAATCAGAGCATGCAGTAGTGAGTGGAAAACGAGGAAATTCGTTCGCGACTGTTACTACGTAACAATTTCCAATTTTTACCTGATGGCGATCTTTAAAATCTGCATTGTTGCGTCCAAACGCCTTAGCTGCCTTTACCGACTGACGGAGAGATTGAAGAAAACTCAGTTTCAGTTTGCAGATCAATGATTTGATTTTAGCCATAGAAAACGGTGAGATTTCGGTGCGAGTAAAGTAAACCTTGCAAGGTATACGCGGGTGACACATAATTCTGAAACTGATTTAGTTTCAGATTACCTGGCTAGCTACTGCAGCTGCTACGTGAGAATGTGTCGATCCTATTATTGAGCTTGCCGAGTCTACGTATATTGTCGTAATGGAAGGGTGCAAGTTCAAATTTTCTGCCACCTGCCTTGTGATTGCTCTGCAGTCAGCTTAAAGTCAATGCCAAGCAAATAACATTCTTTTATTTTTCTAACAAGTTTGTGGGCTTCTCTTTTGGCTGCGCAATCGCGTTACTCGATCGGAGCTAAGGTGCAAGAAAAGACTTCCGGCTTTCCGTTCTTGCTTGAGATTGCCACATCAGTTGCATTTCATAACCACTAGATGCACATGTAAGGATCGATGGTGATAAGTACCGCTATTTTTCTCATCTTCGAAGGACCTTTTTGGCGAGAGGATGTTAGCATAGGAACTCCTTTGTTGCGAAGGAGTAAACTAATTTCGTCATAGAAGTATGATACCTGAAGCTTACGCTGACAAGCCTATCAAATCCACAGACAGGCGACGCGACCTAACTCATATAAAAGAACAGCCACACATTTACAAACACAAGCGACACACCTACCTACATACCTACATTTATGGATCCACCTATATGAAAATCCTATTATACTATTGCACATTTCTTAATCATTTGTTCCACTACCACTATCATCCTGCCTTTAATAGCGTGCCTCGCGTAGCCGATACTAAAAATTTATTTATTTATTTATAAATTGTTTATCACAATTGGTAAGAGACAATTTTTTAATGGTCTCAGTTGCTTGGAATCTGGTTTAATTATTCATGATTAACTGGCCTTACTTTAAACACGCTTTCTATACAATTGATGAAGTCACCATACTTTGAAGTGTCGTCCAATATGCAATTCAAATTCTGTCGATCTTCAACAGTCTTTCCAACAAACATTGACGCTGCTCAGGTGGCAGATGTATCTGTCCGTTTTCTTTTTGGCTAATATTTCATTACGAGACACCACCGGTTGCTCCCATAAGTATACGGAAGAATCTAGCGTTCGCCAAAAGCTTCAAAACCTATATGGTCATTCTTGTGGTTTGACGAGGATTACTATCCTCAACTCCAATGGGCTGTACGTTTCAAATCTAGAGGTCTTCCAAACGATTTCATTTTATCTTGCCAGGAGACAAGTACCGAAGTGTGGGGATCGATTTAAGGTTCAGTTGTTATCGATGACTGTTCGTCGTTTGTATCTTACTTTAGCAGTGGCTATCATTTGGGTCTATGGGAAAGTGGTTCGATGTTGTCCTACTGTAGGAGATGGTTTATTTCGGGACGAGTGGAAGCATCGTCGACGAGACTGAGCCATCTGGGCATTATCACTGTGGGCTTACGAGCCAGCGAAAGGCTACGGAAGAGTGATGGGACTTCAGCATTGGCGCTAGTAATGGTTTATAGCCACTGAACTGAGTCTCCAACAGTGACATCTGAACACATATAATCTAAATAAAGACTCCAATTTTCTGCGAAACGTAGAAAATTCGTAGAATTTACTAACTACCGCTTAAAATGAAACTTCCGCGGAATCGCGGAAAATAGGAAAAATTCATAAAGAAAGCTACTTTCAAAGCTGAATTTAGCGAGCACGCTGTGTGGTTGGATTGCTACTCGCAACCTCTTTTGAGTCCTCGGCTCACTTTGAGGTAAACCTCGGTCATTCCGATCTCGAGGACCGTATCCTGAATAAATGTGAAGCTACTTTCATTTTGTTTCTGTTGTAATCAGTATACTGGTATACGGAAGCAATGCCAAAGAAGCCAGTTGGCTATTGGAACATTCCTCCAGAGTGTCATAACTGTCATCAGTTCACCATCTGCTACCGAAGTCCACTTGTCTCCCCATTTACAGCTACGGCTGCGGTTTTATTCCGACCCCAGTGTCACCTATGCATCTATCCATTACACAACCATGTTTCATCTGTCTGCTCATGCTGTGCACTCACTCCACTGTTCATTATAGAAACCCACATGTACATTAAATCTGTTCGTCTGTCTATATTTAGTATCTAATTTAAGAAAGAGAGGATAACCAAACCGGCCCACCTGCGCCGGTCATCATCCGCTGGAAGTGGCTGGAAGCCGTTGCACATTACGGCAACCATTTCCATCATTATCCAGTGATGCTGCGAACTGTACAACATGAGTTGAGACTCAGCTGGTGTTTGTGAACTTGTGCATGTTCTCATCAACGAAACAACACGGAAAGCTGAACTTGCAACTGAGTTGCGTTGCGACGGTTGGCAAGAACATCATCCGTCACTTAAAAACTGTCGAATCACAGTCTCCGGTAACCCATAAGATTTAAAACGACCTCTACGATCTATCCATGTCGCTGAAAACTGCAGCTGATGAAAACTGGCTGCAGTGTCCGCAACTAGTGGGACTGACCTTTGATGCGTCTAGCAATTCCAAACTGACATGCAACTGTTCTTCTTCAGAGTTACCATGAAAGCCCAGAAGTTGCTCACATCACAGGTTAGCTGACCATTTTTGAAAACCATTGCATTGTTCGACCACAATCAGCTCATCACCTAGGTCAGTGATCCATGCAGCTATGTCGACCTTCCAGGCCCGGTTGGCTCCACAGCTCTGGCAGCCGAGTGCTTAATCTATCGAAAAGTGGTGAAAGAACTGCATGGGGAAAAATATGAAGACACGCTGGCCTTCTGATGCGAGATGCATAAAAGAACTACACAACTAGCAGGCATTGCCGCTCGTTATCTGTGCATTCCTATGAACTCGTTAGACGCTGGATGGAACTTCAATGCCTACAAAAATGTCTTGTCTGGCAAGTGTCACAACCTTTCGGACAGTAACACGAAGTACCTCGTTTGGTTTTATTTTACTTCCTCTGTTTTGTATCATGGCTGATATGTATATAGTGGATGAGGGTGCCTTGATTTCTGTTTATTTTACTCTTCGCGGGGAAGTCGTGGAATTTTATGTTAGCACCGCAGATCGTTCGCGGAATTTCTGACTTTGATCGCGGAAAAAAGTGTTTCACCATCACAGAAAAAACCAACTCTGACGTTGTAATAAAGCTCTCCTTTATATCTAAATGTCACATAGCGGCACCCAATGGTGTACGTTTGCAGTTGGGTTTAAACTATGCATATGCTCATGCGAGATGGATTACAATTCCCAGTAAGCTTTGCGATCAATAACCTCGGCTTCGCAATTTTCGAAACTGTTGATATCAATGGGATCACACACCTGCGCAGACTTTCAGTTCCCAGAGTGCGCATTGTCTACCAATTGATTCCTCGCCGACGTCACTTGCGGTTGTGCTCTATGCTCTTCACTTTTACGACTGTGCTTAAGCTTACCTCTGCACTGCTTCGTATCTAATGAATTCAATCCGCCATTTCCCTCCATAGATTGAACCAGCTACTGTCACGCGAGGCTACTCTCAAAGGATCAAAACTCTGTGTGTTCGTCGGCGTCGGAATTTTCGTGGCCTTTTGCTGTGCTTGTCTTCTGCTGTATTATTTTCTCTACGATGTGGCCGGTGAGTAATTCAGTAGGGCCAGTCAAATGATGTGCTTCCTGACCGATGCTTACCTCTCCTGTTCATCGCATTTTCTAATTGCATTCATGCAGTTTTCTTCGCTAGAAGTATAGCCTGATCTTAGCTCGATGTCTTCTTTTTGATGCATCTGGTATTACCTGGTCTCATCATCGCAACGTCCACATCCCTGTGTGAACCATGCTTATCGACGGGGCTGAACACTCAGCTCACATCTATGTGGTTCCCACTCGTTGCCCAGCCCCACCGTCAGCGTCTTGCACAATGGTTGAATGAGTGCACGCGCGCTTTTGCTTGCAGTCCCAATTTGGGCCACAATTTATCTTGAATTATAGCCTTTCACCTCAGTCACCCGGACCCTCTCTATGGTTGAAACATCTTCATTATTGCGCACGCTCTACGCAGTGTTCTTTTTATTTTTTTGGCCACTTAAGTTTAGGTCTAATCCCGTTACCAAGGAGCTTCCGCCTGGCGCCTAAGCATACAACGCAACATGAAACCGCCACTAGGAACGAACTATATGAGAGTAATGACGATGCACCTATTCGGGATTCGCAAACAGGGTTATGTTGATTACTAGTCAATGGTATGGGGCTGCACTCGTTCGGGAACCACTTTCTTACAGCTACTCTATAGCTGAACTAGATGTAGGCATTGTCTTCCGCTAAGTTTGTACTGCAGTTGGGAACGTCTGCACCCCGGTTCTCACTAAGATAAACCTATGCTTTTCCAATCGTTAGGGCCTTGTGGCTAGTAGAATCGCTTTTGTCGTTTAACGGCCCTAACACTGCGCTTCACCGCAGGTTCTGTTCATCTTTTGGGACTCCTGATGCGGAGACGGCTTGACCTGGTTCTGATTCCTGGGACCTGATGTTTACCAACGGACATTTTCATCACAACACAACCGAGATCCCCCGGCAATGCCTGTAACAGAATTAGTTTTAGATCTTGTATTATTCACCACTTGCCTAAATTGTCGAACCCCACTTTTATCTGGGTTGCCTCTTACCTTGAGGTTGTCCTCTGTTATTCTAATCACCTGGACCACGTCCGAAGTGGGGATATTTGTGATATCGACAACCTCCAGCGTTGTACGCCTCGACTGGGTTCTTCCTCATTTGATCGCTTCGTGTCAAGATAACCGGAGCTTGTTACTAGACCAACGAGTTTCACGAGTCAGGAGCTCACAATTGAGTTGCGGATATCCATTATTTGTTTTGATTTTTAAAATCAACGAACTGTTGGCTGATTTCTATCTTCCAATTGGTGAGCTGAGTTTTCTGATCTTGAATACTTATGACAGTCCGATGCACCGGCTTGTCTTATACTTCGCCCAGAGTGCTCATCTCTTTAAGGCTGCTAGCTCTCTCTGTATATATTTAGCCAGTCTCTATTTTCATTTTCAGTTTACTTCGCCATCGCAATCTATTTCCTTTTGGGAACGCTTGCAATCGCACACGTATCAGCGTTTTGGATCCAGCAGTTTTGCGCTGATGCCAGGAAGACGTGAGTATCCGAGCGTGTTATGTAGCTCATTGGTCCATCGCAAGCTTTGCAGTCGTTCTCGCTAGCTGTTTCCGTGAATACATCATCATAATCATCATTATACACATCAGCTAAAGATGGGAAAAACACCTCCGCTATTGTGCCGCAATACATGAAGGAAATACATACATACATGGTTGGCGGCATCCGGTTTCGGATTTGCCTGTCACTGTGGCAAGCCACAGGACGCCTGCGCCTACAGAGGGACCATGGGTGGCTTGCGCTGCACCACCCACAGCTCCAACCACACACCCCATATCCAGTGTAAACCCGAAGGAATAAGACCGGGAGGCATGTGGATGGGAGCCACGTTTCATCAACGGAGCCGGCCCACACTCCTTCACAGGCAAACACAAGCACACTGTATGCCG